ATATTATGTGTTTCTTAGTCTTTATTATTTATTTAGTTTATTTTGATATTTATTTTATTTTAAGTATGCAAGTTTTATTTTTCATGCAAGTTTTGTAAGTTTAAGGTTTTCATCAAATATTTATTTTTTAATTAATGAAAACAATTCTAAATAGTTACAAAGTTTCTTTGGAAAAGTAAAAAAAAATAATAAAATGTCAGTATTATAATTCCGATCTCATTTTTGCCTGACATTTCTAAAAGTTGTGTGACATTCATTATTCATTTTTGTACTGCTTTCATGCTCTACCTCCAGAGGAATAAGCAGTAAGAGGTAGGATTGTGTGTTTAGCTTTTAGCTTGTATTCCTTTTTCTCTCTTTGCTTGATTATTCTATATATTCATAAATAAATCATTTGAATCTCATATTTTAAGTGCTTTACAATCCGCTCAGTGGTGTGGTATTTCTAAGCTTCAGATTGGTGGTTGGGAATCTTGCATGGAAGCATTTCTGTCGATCATGAAATGTTTATTTATGAATGAGGCTCTTGAGATGTTATTTGAATTATATGGCTAGAGTCCTCATGAAAGTACATGGAACGGAAGTGATGTTATTTTTTGAACGATGATTTTGTTGTTGCAACTAACACATTGCAGCAGTTTTAGATTGGGATTTCAAGAGTCTTAAAGTCAACATGAAATTGTGTTCACAACCTATTTTAGTTAGTTATCTGACATACACTACTATTCAAAGGTTTGTAGTTAATGAGATTTGTATTACTTTTTTTGTACTTTTACTCAGCAAGGATGCATTAAAGGGATCAAAAGTGACAGTAAAGATATTTATAATGTTACGAAGGATTTCTATTTCAAATAATAAATATTAAAATTTCAGTTATTTAAAATTGTAATAATTTTTCATAGTATTACAGTTTTTACTCAATTTAAAAAATAAATAAATGCAGCCTTGGTGGCATTAGAGACAAAAAAAACACAAACCTTTAAAAGGTAAATCTAAATGAAAATATTCATGCTAAAAAGAATCAAGAATAAACTGAACTCATTAACTGATAGATTTCTGAATGAAACATATTCAGTGGGACTTGATTTGATCAATTAGGAATCTATAGATTTTCACATGCATCAATGAAACCAGCAATCCGAATAAAAAAAAATGTGTCAGTCAATTTCATGTTGACTTGAAAGAACCATGTAATTTAATTTGTCTTTTATTTTTCAAATGACCTTTCCACATGCTCTCCTTTAGGGGTTACTCGCTTTTGGTGATGAAGATTCCTACATTGAAGTCCCTGGGTCTTCGCTCACTGAAACGGATCGGTGACGGAGGCATCTACATCACTGGAAACAAGCAGCTCTGTTATCACCACACCGTGAACTGGACACGTCTGTTTGGGAGCAGCCCTCGGCGCCGCCAGAAACCCCTCGACATCAAAGACAACCACCCACAAGAGCAGTGCAGTGAGTACATGCTGTACTACCAAAATGTTTCAAATGGACTAGTTATGGGTTGTCTGAAAGACTAGTTTGTCATCAGGAATTGGTTTTAAAGGGATAGTTCACCCAAAAATTTAAATTTTGTTAATTTTTACTCACCCCCATGTAATGTAATTGTTTTTCTTCTGTGGAACACAAAGTAAGATATTTTGTAGAATATTGGTAAATATTGGAATTTAGTTTCAGTTCCCATTGACAAAAAATAAATTCGAAGTCAGTGAGAACTGTAACTGCTTGATGAGCTTCAAAATATCTTCTTTTGCAAATGTTCATTTTTGGGTGGACTATCTCTTTAATTCTGATAGTGCCATGAATTTAAAGTCACAACTTCTCTTGGAGAGGGTTCCAGCATAGAAGTCCTCTGGAATATGTTGCTTATTAAATGTGAAAGAACATGAAAACATTCTAAAAATATTAAAGATAAAAATATCATTATTCATTATTGCTAATTAACTATATTCATCATTGCTGTGTGCTTGTAGTTAAAGAAGGGCATGTGTGTGATCCCCTGTGTTCATCTGAGGGCTGCTGGGGTCCGGGACCCAATCAGTGTGTGTCTTGCAAGAACTACAGCAGAGGAGGGACATGTGTACCACAATGCAACTTCCTGTCAGGGTCAGTATAGGACATTATTTATTTTACATGCATCATCATTGTAGTTACATTTGGTGCAATTAATTATGGAAAAAAACACATAAAAATTATTATTATTATTAAATGTGTGTGTGTGTGTGTGTGTACCGCTAACCATTGTAATGAATGAATCTGCGTTTTTAAATGAATCGAGTGAGCCGATTCAGTGACTTATTCATAAAGACAGTCACTTTATTCATTTCTGAATGAATCAGCCGTTTAAACAAATCGGTTGAGTGAATGACTAAATGATTCACTCACTTAGACAGTGACCTGCTGCCACCTACTGGCGGTTTTAGTTTGATAGCGTATCATTAAAAAAAATATCATATTTCAATATTTATTATTATATAATATTTATTTGAAAAACATTCATATGCATTTATTATCATTATTTATGCTATGTTTCCTACTTTTTGTAATGTCTGTAAAAAGCTGTTCTCATCTAACACAATAAATAATTATTAAATGTTATATGAGTAGTAATTACTGTTTTCTATTTTCAACAAGGCAGCATTCATTTGATAAAAAATACAGTAAAATTTACATTAAATTACATTTTAAAATAAATTATATATATTTAAAGTGTATTTAATATGTATTTAAAGAAACAAATTACTTTAAAATAGAAAACATTTAAAGTTGCAGTTATATATCACATATTATTTCTGTATAAATTATAAATAATAATAATAAATTAAGTGTTCAAATTAAGTCTAATAATAAATTATTTAAATTAAATGTTAATGTTTTCTATTTTACATTTTTTACATTTAGCTCATATATTTGCACAGTTTTGTTTATGTATATGTAATTTATTCCTGTGATGCAAAGCTGGATTTTCAGCATCATTACTCCAGTCTTTAGTGTCACATGATCCTTCAGAAATCTTTCTGTTGATTTGCTCCTCAAGAAATATTGTTATCAATGCTGAAAACTGTTGTGCTGATTAACAGTTTTGTAGAAACCAATAACAAATAGAAACTTTAAAAGAACAGAATTTAAATCTATTTAAATAGAAATCTTTTGTTTATTGAAATTACAAATGTCTCAACACATTTTGCTGTAAAGTATTAATTTCTTTAAAAGAAGTATTAAAAGTATTCATTTATTTTTTTAAATAAAATAAAAGACAGTAATGTATGTCATTGCAATGCCTAATATTACTATATTACCTATATTTTTGCAAATCAGTTAAAGATGCCTGTATGTTTTCTGTGTCAGATGTTTGGGTCCAGGTCAGAATGACATTTTGTTTATTGAAATTACAAATGTCTCAACACATTTTGCTGTAAAGTATTAATTTCTTTAAAAGAAGTATTAAAAGTATTCATTTATTTTTTTAAATAAAATAAAAGACAGTATTGTATGTCATTGCAATGCCTAATATTACTGAAATATTTTTGCAAATCAGTTAAAGATGCCTGTATGTTTTCTGTGTCAGATGTTTGGGTCCAGGTCAGAATGACTGTGTGGATTCGTCCAGGTCAGATGCTGGGTAAGTGTCTCCCCTGCTGGTGTGATGTGTGGCCTGCAGCTGCCTGTCAGTGTGTAATTATGCATTTTGTGTTTTAGGTTGCCTGTGACAGCAATAGTGCTGAGCGTTATATTCGGGGTGCTGCTCGCATTCTCAGTGTTTGTGCTGAGCGTTCTGTATCGCAGAAGTGTTGCCATCCGCAGAAAACGTGCCATGAGGAGATATCTGCAGAGTGGGGAGGTGTGTGCACATATACATATGAACCAGCAAATTGTACTGTTGAAGTGTTGTGAAGTTTTCTAAGGTTTAAAAATGTGTTTTAGAGTTTCGAACCACTGGATCCTGGAGAAAAAGGCGTGAAAGTTCATGCACGGATTCTGAGGGGGTCTGAGCTACGGAAGATCAAACCTCTCGGCTCTGGAGTGTTCGGCACTGTGCACAAGGTACTGTACTTACACGCTCTCATGTCATTACATGAGCTCACCCCGAAACCTGACAATAGCTCATATCACTTACTGAAGCATTTCCTCTGGGTGTTCTCCTAATACATTGTTTTCTTGCTTATGTTGACTCTCTTACTCTGTTATTTAACTGTATTTCATTTGTTTCTTCACAGGGGGTTTGGATACCAGAGGGAGACACGGTAAAGATTCCAGTGGCTATCAAGACTATTCAAGACCGTACAGGACGACAGACCTTTCAGGAAATTACAGATGTAAGACACACACATGCACATTGCCTATATACACTACTAATATACTATATACACTGATAAATTAGTTTATTTGTTTGTTTTATGTTTATTTTATTGTTATTTTTGCATAAAATAATCATTTTATGCACTTTTTTATTTCTACTTATGGTAAACGATTATTTGAAAGTTTGCCTGGTGGGCGATAAATATATAAAAAAAACATTACAGATATACAGTAAACAGGGAACTTGACAAATATTTTTTAGAAATATTGTTTTAATTAATGCTTTTATTCTGCAAAGATCAAAAGTGACAGTAAAAGCATTCATAATGTTAAAAATGTTTTATTTTAAATAAATGATGTTTATTGGAACTTTCTATTCAATTAAGAATATAAAAATATATGACAGATTCCATAAAAATATTAAGCTGCACAACTGTTTGCAGCGTTAATAATAAGACAAAATGTTTCTTGAGCAGAAAATCACCATGTTAGAATGATTTTTTGAAACTTATTTTTATTTTGAACCACAACATTGCATACAGTACAGTATTACAGTTTAACATGTTAGTCCTTTATATTCCAGCTACATTGACAGTAGCTCAGTCTCAATTATATCAGACATGTTATGCAGAAAATGAAAACATCCCAGTACACCTAGTAAGATCACAGAAAAGCAGAAAAAACTAAATAATGTAAAATAAATAAAAATAAGGTGGATAGAGAAGGGGGATGACAGTATAGCTCATTATTAAAATATTAAAGGCATGGCAGGGGCCCACATCTTTAGAAAAGTTGTTCTTTGAAGTCGCAATGCATATGTGATTTGTTCCATTTCGTACAGCTCCCACCCGTTTTGAATCCAGACATTGTATGATGGAGGGTCAGGTTTTAACCATCTGCATGTGATGCACTTAATAGCTGCGGCAAGTAGAATTTGTAATAAGTATATTTTGTTATATTTTGATACGATTTCTTTAAGAACATCAAATATGTCTTTCGTATGTATTTGTATCAAAAACTAAAACTAAATTAAGTGCATTTTGCTTAAAACAAGTAAAATTATCTGCCAGTGGGTAAGAAAAATACTCTTGTTTTAAGAATATTTACTTGCCCCACTGGCAGATAATTTAAATAGTTTTAAGCAAAATGCACTTAATTTAGTTTTTTCCCTCTGGAAACAAGACTAAATATCTTAAGTCATTTGGCTTATCTAGTAAAAGTATCTTGATTTAAGAATTTTTAGCTATTTTGACTGGAAACGAGACAAAAATACTAAGCAAGATAAGCCATTTTTGCAGTGTTCTGTTAGGAAGAGTAGGACATCGTCGGCATATAATGATGTTCCTCTCCACACACTATAATGCCCTTAACTGCACTGTCGTCCCGTATAAGCTGGGCAAAGGGTTCGATGCTAATAGCAAACAGCAGGGGAGACAGCGGGCATCCTTGTCTGCACATTAGAATGATTTTTAAAGGAGCATGTGACACTGAAGACTGAAGTAATGATGCTAAAAATTCAGCTTTGCGTCCCAGGAATAAATTACATTTTAAAATATATTTTAATAGAAATCAATACATTTAATTTGTAATAATATTTCACAATTTTGCTGTTTTTACTGTAGCTTTGATCAAATAAATGCAGCCTTGGTGAGCAAAAGAGTATTTTTAGCTTCAAATCGAAACATTTTTACTGATCCCAAACTTTTAAAAGTGCTCTGTGATAATAAACAAACACAATTACTGTTTAATAATTTAATTTAATTTAATTTAATTTTTGTTAATAGTGACTTTTAGAAGTTTTAAATTAGGAAGTGATGACTATTAATTTGTATTCATTAATATCTTTTACAAAACAACCACATAAAACATTCAAAATCAACCCACATACTAAATGGCAATGTAAATTATTTCTTTCTGTCCTGCAGCATATGTTGGCTATGGGGAGTCTGGACCACCCGTATATAGTCCGGCTCTTAGGCATCTGTCCCGGGACCAGTCTGCAGCTGGTCACTCAGCTCAGCCCACAGGGGTCTTTGCTGGAGCACATCCGGCAGCGCAGAGAGAGCCTCAACCCTCAGAGACTGCTCAACTGGTGTGTGCAGATTGCCAAGGTGAGAGGGGCACAAAATGCGTTTCAAGGTATTCAGATCATTTCATGCCCACTTAACAACTAAAGACTTTCCTCGCCTTCCTCCTAGGGTATGTACTATCTAGAGGAGCAGCGAATGGTCCACAGGAACCTGGCTGCCCGCAACATCCTGCTCAAGAGCGACTTTATGGTTCAAATAGCTGATTATGGCATCGCTGACCTCCTCTACCCTGATGACAAGAAATACTTCTTCAATGAAATTAATGTAAAGCAGACTTAAAAAGTTTGAAATAATAAAGATTTTCCAATGTTTTTGAAAGAAGTGTCTTATGCTCACTAAGGCTGCATTTATTTGAAAATAATAATTACATATGGTAAAAACAAATAAAAAAAACTAATATTCTGAAATATTGTATTATTTTATTATTCTAATATGCTGATTTGCTGCTCAAGAAAAAAATATTATTGTTATGAATGTTGAAAATAGTTGTGCTTAATATTTTTGTGGAAACTGATACACTAAGTTTAGGGTAAGAGAGATGTAAAAAAATGCATAATTTTATTCAGCAAGGACACATTTAATTGATTAAAAGTGTCGGTAAAGTCATTTATAATGTTACAAAAGATGTCTGTTTTAATGAACTTTCTGTTCATTAAAGAATCCAGAAAGCTCAAATCAGTTTTTTTTTTAGCTCAAATCAGTATATTAGAATGATTTCTGAAGGATCATGTGACACTGAAGACTGGAGTAATGATGCTGAAAATTCAGCTTTGATCACAGGAATAAATGACATTTTAAAATATATTAAAATAAAAAGAGTTCTTTTAAATTGTAATAGTATTTTACAATATTACTATTTTTACTGTGTTTTAATTAAATAAATGAAGCCTTGTTGAGCATAAGATACTTTTTTTCAAAACATGAAAAAAATCTTAATTATTCAAAACATTTGATTGTTAGTGTATATGCACTGCTACTGTATTCAAAGCAGTTCCTCAAACAGTATCGCTGCACTGTGCCTCTGACTCTTTCCCTAATGTTTGTCATTTTTAGACGCCAATTAAGTGGATGGCGCTGGAAAGCATCTTGTTCCGCAGATACACACACCAGAGTGATGTATGGAGCTATGGTGAGTCCATGTGTCGCACCATAAAATGCTACTGTAAAACACTGCACTTTGGATCTGATGATTTAATAAGAGGTCACTCTATCTCTAGGTGTGACAGTCTGGGAAATGATGTCATATGGGGCGGAGCCTTACTCTGCTATGCGAGCACAAGAAGTACCTGATCTGTTAGAGAAAGGGGAACGCCTCTCTCAACCTCAGATCTGCACCATTGATGTCTACATGGTCATGGTCAAATGTGAGTTGAGTCGTCTTATAACCCATAATGCAAAGTGGCAGTGATCTTACGCTTTATCTCTTTTATCATCTTGACACTCTACATATACATTCTTGCAGATGTTAGCATGAAAAGTTTGTAAATGAAAATTAGCGATGCACAATTTATAAGTACCAAATCAGATATTAGAGTTTTTTTTATCTGCAGTGTTGTTTTAGTATTTAAAATAAAAGTTTATTAGCTTTGAGTTTTTTGTCGTTTTTTTAGTTTAGTTTTAGTTAGTTTTAGTAATTTTCCTTTGTGCTTTTTTGTGTTTGCTAGTTTTATATATGTATATGTATATACATAGATATATTTAGCTTAATTTTTTTTATTTCCATTTTAACCATTTTAGTACTTCAGCTTATTTTATTTCAGTTGGTTGGCAAGGCAGCATTTCTAAATGTTTAAAGGGGTCATATGATGCGATTTCAATTTGTCCTTTCTCTTTGGAGTGTTACAAGCTCTTGGTGCATAAAGAAGATCTGTAAAGTTGCAAAGACTAAAGTCTCAAATCCAAAGAGATATTCTTTATAAAAGTTAAGAGTCAGCCACACCTACCTAAAATGCTGGTCGCTGAGGAAATACAACAACTTCGCACTGTGGATAGCCGTATCGGCTTTCACCGTGGACAAAGCGGAGTCCAGCCCGGGGTCGTCACATGTGGATGCCGCAAGCCTGCCGGACGCTCCTTCATCGAATCCACCGGCCGCACTGTTCTCAAGCCCCCCGCCTCCACTCACTCAAGCCCGCCAGTGTGTGACGCTGTGTGACGCATTTTATGGAGGACTGTTTCCTGAACCTGCAGAGTAGCCTACAATGGGTCTGTGCTCAAGCTGTTCTATAAAGTGGGGCAGTTCCAACTTTGCAAGGTGCTTTGTAAAAATCGACGTGTTTCAGAAAGTTGGGGCATAAAGGAGAAACAATAATGTACAGTATGTGGAAAATAATGTGTTTTTTTTTACCTTAATCCGCATACACACATTTCATTACACCAAATAATGTTCTTTTTAGCAGCATCATATGACCCCTTTAAGTTCAGTTTAAATATAACTTAAAATTATTGAATATTTATATTTTTAATGATTTTTCTTTTGGTATTAGTTAACAATAATAAAATATGCTTGTGCATGCTTTAAAAACAATAATTTAAAAATACTGTAAAATTAAATGATTATCCATTTTGCATACATTATACACATTATATTGAACATTATAATGTTGAGATGCTTAAATTCACTTGTAGCATTATTTACTTTTACTTTTAACATATGATTTTTTTTTTATGTATTTGACTATTAATATTTATTGGCTTACTTTAACAGGTTGGATGATTGATGAAAATGTTCGTCCAACTTTTAAAGAGCTAGCCAATGAGTTCACTCGAATGGCCAGAGACCCCTCCCGATATCTCGTCATCAAAGTAAGTCAAACTGATGGAGTATTTCATCATACTTCATTGTACGTTGCCGTTTAGATGAATGTTGTTGATTGGTGCTCCACCACTAGGAGGAGTACAGAGCTCCTGACGCAGCCTCAGAAGAGTCCCATCAGAGAGGAACTGAGATGGACATTCTAGGGGTGGCGCTGGAGGAGGACCAGGAAGATGAAGTCTTGGAAGATACCACAGACATGCCACGCTACATAACGCCATCTAGGAGTTTCTCTAGACTGCGTATAGATTCTCATCGGGTGTGTTTTATAATATTTATCAGAATTAATACATGAAGGTTTGCAAATAGACTAATGCACATCGTTCACTATTCAAAAAATTTGGGGTTGGTAAGATATTTTATATAATTGAAAGAGGCCTCTCTTATGCTCACTTAGTCTGCATTTTACATTGAAAGTTGTCTAATTTGATATATTTTAAAATGACATTTCTTCTTTTGATGCAAAGCTGAATTTTCAGGATCATTACTCCAGTTTTCAGAGTCACATGATCCTTCTAATTATGCTCAAGAAAGAACATTTCTTAATAGTATCAATGCTGAAAACTATGTGCTTCTTAATATTTTTGTGGACCGCATCATACTCATTTTTCAGAACTCAAACAGAATAGTATTTATCTGAAATAGAAATCTTTTGCAACAATTACATTTTGTAAATTTAATGCATTCTAATAAAAACTTACTGGTCCCAAACTTTTGAACGCTAGTGTATATTTTCAGATGATTTGTGGAGGCTCTATAAATAATGAATTAATAAGCTACATATCTTTTTGACACTTCTTTTTTTATTGTTACACCAGTCAAGTCTGACTCCGTCCAATGTTGCTGGATATCTACCAATGACGCCTGGTCTGGAGAGCTCAGCACAGGTGAGGTTTTAATCATACATCCACATAAAAACTACATTTGATGTGTAAGGAATGAATATTGGAGGTATAATGCACATATCTAAGAGCATCCTCATTTTGCTGTAGACAGGATGGGCCTCTCGGTCCCGTCTCGACTCTGGATGCACAGTTTCTGAGAGCTCGGAGGGACGGGGAACTGCGGTGGAGCTGGAAATGAACGAGGACTTCTCAGTGGTTGGCAGCATGAGGAGGGTCACACATCGTGAGGACAGCGCTTACATGTCACAGCGGGACAGCCTATCAGGACCTCCCGAAACAACCTCCACAGGGACTCAAGGAGAAGAGGACCAAAATGGATACGTGCTGCCTGGATTCGGTGAAAGTCCAGAGAAAGGTGAGAATAAGCAAATTAGAGCTGTGTGTGTGTGTGTGTGTGTAACCTTTATGCAACAATTAAGGCAAAATTGTGATTCTGTGAACCTTGGAAGGTCCTGTGAAACAAGACTGAAAAGTCTATGAAAGCCTGTTTCAGTCCTTTATAGTAAAAAATAAAATGTAATTATAAGATCATGTTTTAAATAAGAAATACATTTATGTTGTCAGATATAAAATCACATTCTGAGAAATAAACTCACAGTTATGACATCCACTACTGTTCAAAACATGAAATAATTAAGATTTTTAAAAAGATTTTTGAGAGACGTCTCTTATGCTATCCAAGGCTGCATTTATTTGATTAAAAATATAGTGAAAACAGTGAATATTATGAAATATTATTACAAATTAAAATAACTGTTATCTATGTAATTATATTATAAAATGTCATTTATTCCTGTGATGTAAAGCTGAATTTTCAGCATCATTACTCCAGTCTTCAGTGTCACATGATGCTTCAGAAATCATTCTAATATGTTGATTTGCTGCTCAAGAAACATTTCTTATTATTATTAATGTTAAAAAAAGTTTTTTGGGGGAAACCAATTCACTACCATTCAAAAATTTTACATATCTTGTATTTTTAAATGATTTTATTTATTTGTAAATTACATTTTAAAATATATTCAAATAGAAACCAATTCTTCTAAATTGTAATAATATTTCACAATATTTTTTGCTGCTTAATTTTTTTTGGGGGGGGATGGGCAACACACTACCATTCAAAAATTTAGCATATCTTATATTTTTTTAATTATTGCAGCCTTTGTGAACATAACAGACTTATTTCAAAAACATAAAAAATCTCGAGAAAAAAGTTGCAATTACATTAAATTTGCAATTTTTATTCATTTATTTTCTTTGATCAGCTTCCATAAATATGCATACTCAAGGCAACTCATCTCTTGTATTTTGATTTTTTTTTAAGAAACTCTTCTACTCACATCGTCACGTGCAAAACGTTCTCAGAGGAGACTCTCAAGAGGCCACTCCGGCGACTTTTTGGAGGCCCACTGTGTTGCAGGTGAAGAATACGAGTATATGAACAACCAGACCCTCTCTCTCGGGCATATACCAGGGCAGCTTAAAGATTACAATCAGCCACGCAACCGCAGCGCCTCCTTCAACCCTGCCGGCTTGTACAGCAATCACAAATCTCTAGCGTCTAGCAGACCCAGGAAGAGATCGTTGATCGAGGGCTCCGAAAGTAGCGGCGGTCTCTCCCAATCCTCGACTGACCAAAGGAATCACAGCGACGGTGACTTGCTGTCCAGTGAAGCAGAGTACACAGACAGCGATCTGGATCTCCACGAGGTTCAGTACGAGTACATGGACATCCGTGGTGGTGCAGGACCACCAGCCAACATGGTAGTCAAACTTCACCTCCCAAGACCGGTTTCCCATCCTCCTCTCAGAAGATCGCCACAAGACGATGAAGACGAATACGTGGAGGAAGACTATCAGTACACTAACCGCCAGCCTCGGCTGAGGAATTCACTCAGGGTTCAGGGGTTAATGCAAGGGGAAGGAGAAGTGTATGAATATGAGGATATGGACTCATTGGCTGCAGGTGGAGCATCTGCAGCTGAATATCAGAATCTGGAGGAAGAAGATGAGGAGAGTGTTGGGCTGACGGATGAACCCCGGAGACCGGGGCCGGAAGAGTATTTAAAAGTTCATGCAGGGATGGAACATAAAGCTTTTGATAACCCTGACTATTGGCACAGCAGGTCGTTTCATAAAGCCAGCGCTGTCCGCACGTAGACATGGAGAACGGTGTGAAGGAACTTGATGCAAATGTCTTCCGTCTTCAGTGACCAATGTTCAGGATATTATTCAATAATGCACTTCTGAAAAACTTGACAAAATACAGGTAAATGTATTTTGTTGTAAAATGTATTTTTAATGTCAAAAAATGTGGCATTATGGTTGAAATACATTGAAACAAGAGCAGCTTTGTTCTTTTAATATGATGGAGGTGCCAGAATGACCTGATTCATGAGCTACACATTGAATGCACTGATATTTACATCTGGATATGTATGTATGTTAAGTGTGTAGTTACTTAAAATGTTCTGTTCATGCCAAGTTTGTTGTACTCATCAAGTGAAGCCATAAGTTTGTGCATTTATGAGTGAGTGTTCATCTTAAATATCTGTTATTTAGTGTGTTCGTGAAGTGCCCAATTCAGTCAGCAGCTGCCAAAGCACTGTGCATCTGTTCAGACTGCACTTGAATGATTTCACAATTGAAGTGCAATTTTCAAAATACGTCTAATCTGAGGTATTTGGAATTTATAAAATGATGATGTCAGTTGAATAGCATGATGATTGAATTGGGGTAAAGTTGTTTTTCTATGAGGAGTTTGTTGTGCATGCCTTCTGAACAAATCATAATGAAGTACTTGTGTTATGTTTCAAATGAAATGGCCAGTAAACAAGCTTTTATGACAAAACTATAGTTTTGTACACACATATCAAACTGAAGTATTTTCCCTTAAAAAAAATCGACCCTTATGACTAGTTTTGTGGTCCAGGGTCACAAAAACTTGAACAGAATTGAGTTAGATAATAACACTATAGTCATCTGTAGAGTCGTTTCATAATGAAAGTTATTTTCATGTTTAGTACTTGTGAAGCTGCTTTGAAACCATCTGTATTGTACATTTTACTATTGTGCCCTTTTTTGGAAAACATCCAAAAGCCTCGGTTGGTTTTGGCGCCATCGTATATGACGACACCTGTGATGCGGCTGCGTAGTGGGCGTGGCTACGCTGTGCGTGGAGGCCGTGGGCGGAGCTGGACGGTCGGCGAGCCGCCTGGTGGTAGTGTGACTGATTTCTGCTGTCCGCTCATCGTACAGCCAGAGAGACGCTTCGGAAGCCTGTGCAACGATGTCCGACGACGAGCAGCAAGAGCAGACCGTCGCCGAGGACTTGGTCGTGACCAAGTACAAGATGGGCGGTGACATCGCCAACCGTGAGTTTGACGTTTGAGTGCTGGAGGTGCAGAGTCGGTGACACGGGCCTCCACGCTGCTTTCTCACGCATGCCATGTGTTAGGACGCAATGAGCGGCGTGGGACACGAGACCCCGATGCGCTGGCCTACGCAGCATGCAGCCGCTTGAGACCTCCTCTAAATGCATAGCTGTTCCTCTTGTACATGTCTATAAAGCCCGTATACTTTTTTGCAGTCCTACAGAACGGAGGGACTCATTCTGGAGCTAATGCTAGCTAGCATTAGCCCTCAGTGCATGTCAGTGGACACTTGTGGCTCTGGCATTGCCAGCTGGTAGAGGCTAGTCCTCAAAGGCACGGGTTATTAGTGAGCTGTCTGGATGAATATGTCCACTGCTGCCTTACTGTGACAGAGCTTTCACATCCCATCTGTCAGCGTTGCTCTCACAGGGAGTGAACAGCATGGAGGTGAACTTTAGCTGGTGAGGTGATGCTGACAGGGCTTTTGACATTAGCACTCCAGAGCATTGGATTTTTTTTTTTTGCACTGTGAACTTGAATGGTCGTGCAGTACTCTGAGCTCCAGTGATTCCAGGTTTTGTACTTTTAGTTATGCCACAATTGTTTCAAACTTCATTGTTGAGACTAAATTAGTAGCTCTAATCTCCAATCTCCAAGCTCAAGCACCTGTTATTTGAAAGGGACGTGACATGTGGCCAAGTATGTGACCCATACTCGGAATTAGTGCTCTGCATTTAACCCATCCAAAGTGCACACACACACACCATGAACACACACCCGGAGCAGTGGGCAGCCATTTATGCTGTGGCGCCTGGGGAGCAGTTGGGGGTTCGGTGCCTTGTTCAAGGGCACCTCAGTCGTGGTATTGAAGGTGGAAGAGAGCGCTGTACATTCACTCCCCCCACCTACAATCCCTGCCGGTACGAGACTCAAACCTGCAACCTTTGGGTTACAAGTCCGACTCGCTAACCATCAGGCCACGACTTGCATATCATATCAACTAGTTTTCTTTCAGGACCCTAATTAAATGGGTTTTTTTTTTTGCATAAAAGTTTTCACTAAAATCTGATGTTAAGAAGTGTTTACATTACATCTTGAACCATTATGGTTTCTAAATGTGTGTCAAACTGCACTTTTCACTCTCTTCGCTTCTATTCAAATGTATGCGAATGCTGGAGGTGGAACACAAGCTCAGTGTGAAGAAGTTTAGCATTTCGCTGTGTTCTGACCTCTGAGCTCGTGCCACGTGAAGATATGTGACCAATAGAAGATTGATGCGTCACAGCATGACCTGTAAAAAAACACAATCTATGAATACAACTGTTGTAGTGTCTGAAGAAATTTAGCGTGCTTAAAGTCTGGTGTGACCACCCCTTAAATACCTCCCGAATTTGTGGTTTCATGCTTTCAACAGGCAATAATCAACGTGCGAAACATCAGCTGCATTCAAAAATGCACACCAAAATGATGTTCTTAAAGGCTTAAGAATTTTGCAACCATTAAAAAAATGTTCTATAGTATGAATGCAGTATGTTCTCTAGGGCTGCAAAACGATTAATCGATCAAAATAAACGTTTGTTTACATACTATATGTGTGTACTGTGTATGTTTATTATGTATATGTAAATACACAAACATGTATATATTAAGGTAAAATATGTTCTCAAATATGCACAGTACACACATAGTATGTAAACAAACTTTATTTTGAATCGATTAATCGCTTTGCAGCCGTAGTTTTGTCATCGTCATGTGACCGAACAGCATCAGTTGCTTCACTTCACTGGCATTTACAAATGCTCTCCAGTGGCCTCATGGGATAGTAAAGTGTCCACTGGATGTGAACTTCAGTTGGAAATAGTAGGCTATCCAGGTACTTGTTGCCTGCTGTTTTATGAATACTATGAATTCAGACATACTATGTTCGCATTAGGGCTGCACGATTAATCGAATGCGAATGTCATGCGCATTTTGTTAGTAATGCCGGTTCTGTAATCAGCAGGAAATCATCATCACGTGCTTTCAGATGGAGCAGAATTTACTACACATAGCCGTAGTTCACGGACAAGTTACGCAAAAAAAAATTGCAGACGCAGATTGCGAGGCGTATTTGGAGTTTCAGCGCGAGAGCGCCCTCTGGCCTTTGGATGGAGATTTACTGCTGATCACAGAACCGTGCTTCACTGAAAGATGCGCGTGACAATCGCAGCTTCTGTCGAATCGCGATCTCGATTCCATTTCGATTTATCGTGCAGCCCTAGTTCGCATACTGTATAGCAGGGAAGTGTGCAATTTCGAATGCAGCCATTGTTATTTGCACAAAGCATGTTTATTCTCAATGCAAGCCTTGTTTAATGTAGTCTGGGTCATTTTTTTGAAGTTGTATAGTGTTGAGGATGAAAGCATATCACACAACCAGTCCATGTTGGAAAATGCCTAATTTGATTATGGTTTCTAACAAGTGAGCAATACTTTTGCACAGAAATGGCCTACTGTTCAGTTTGAATTAATGCACAGCCTTTGACATCAGCAATAAAACATACTATAAATGTTGCTTCTCCCTTTCAAAAGCCTGTTTATTTAGATGACGATGACCAATTATGATATTAGAAGGATTAGTTGGACTTCCATTTACTGTGCGTATTACTCCTTTCAGTTTTCTGAATAACATTTTGAAGGTGCCGTCCAGGCGAAGTCCAGTCATTTCAATAGCGATCCATGTGATCTTGAAGCTCAAAAGATTTTCATGTGCAGATTTTGCAAGGGGTTCAGGTTGGTCGTGCACATTCACCATGCTGACCAACCGAAAGCTGCTTGGTTGGAAAGTGACGTCTTTGTGAGCCTAACATCAAAACCCTATAGACAATGGAGTTTTTTTGCCCATAAATATTGGTCTCGTTCTTCTCTTTTTAGATGCGCTGAGGGTCGTCATCGATGCTGCCAAACCAGGAGTTTCAGTTCTCAGCCTCTGTGAGAAAGGAGATGCTTTCATCATGGCAGAGACTGGGAAGGTCTTTAAGAAGGAGAAGGACACGAAGAAAGGTGAGACAGAGATGCAGATGTGACTAAATGCTTGTGGTTCATAAGAGAGTGTGAGTGGGCTTTAAATTGAGCCCATTCAGAATAGATCGGTCCAGAGAAATCTGCAGGCCTCGTTTGATATATCTCTCTCCTCACACATTATGCAGAAGGTCTTTTGTTGAGGATTGGTGGTTGTCCTTTCTTGCAGGCATTGCGTTCCCCACCAGTGTGTCAGTCAATAACTGTGTCTGCCACTTCTCTCCCCTGAAGAGCGACCCTGACTACACGCTGAAAGATGGAGATTTGGTCAAAATGTAGGCAAACTCCCCTCTCCAGTTCGTCTGCGTGTGTCTAACCTCCCCATGTCTTTTCCTTCCTCTCCTTGTCCTCAAGTCACTCTCCTTCCTCTTACTCGGCCCATCTTGTCTGCCGTGTTCTCCACTCTCCGTCTCTATCCCTTCCGATTGTGTCTTCCTGCTTGTTCCCTTGTTTCTTTGTGATCCACACATGCAACTTTGCACGTAAATATTACACGTAATTGATTTAAGTGTTTTTAATGTAGACTCTGCAACGAAAAAGTGTTCTGGAATCTCTTATAGAACCTGTAATTGTCTGTGTCAATGTATTTCCTGTTACGGCAAGACATTTATGGTCTGGTACTTCGTTTTAAAAACCATTTTTATTGTATTAATTTGAAGGTGCTCAAAGTTTTGCTGTTTCTTTGCGTTGTTCTCTGAAAGCACATAGGTTTTGCTCAGGTTTCCCTGCACCTGTATGCATGTTTTTATATTTTCTCTCCTAAACTTCTCTTTTCTCTCAACAGTGATTTAGGAGTACATGTCGACGGCTTCATCTCCAACGTGGCCCATAGCTTTGTTATTGGAGCTACTAAGGTTCGTGTGCATATATA